CTCCACCGCTTTTACGAAGAGTGCGCCTCAATGCTAGAGGTTTGAAGGAAAGCACGTTGAAAAGTTGTTCAGGGAAGAGTCCGACGGTTCCAACTACGATCTGCGGATCGGCCCACACTAGCGTGTATTTTTTTCTATATAATTTCCCATTCACGATATTGTACGGATTCTGTCTTCACTAAAAAATGGCGTTTCAATGGCTTATTTAGGTTGACAAGAGAGGAAGGAAGCTTGTTGACTATGACCATGCAAAGCACAACTACAGTTCTGCAAAGCTTCAAGTACAAAAGAAGGTTAGAGTGACTTGGCCATTGGAGCGTTTTGCCGTAAGATACTTATGAATATGGCCTTCAACACAGACGCATCGATTCCAGGGTGAAACAGATCCAAAAGTGGCCAAAGCTTACACTGAGCTACAACAAGCAGAGACCCTTTATAAAGAGATAAATAACGAGTTGTTAGAGGTATGTCTGTTGATTCTCCATAAAATTCCAAGATAAGTGACGAGGCGTTTGTTCCTTATTTGTAGGCTTATTTGTGGTTTAGTTGAATAACAAAAGGATAAATCTTTCGTCGTTGGTCAGTCACTTTTGAGATACGTTACATATTCTACTTCCATTCAGAATCGTACTGTCTTACTGGGATCGATGGGCCTATACACGAATTTGCAGGGGCCGGCCAATGCCAATATTTCCTCCTAGACAAAACAGGCGCCGACTAGTCGTCCTTGGATGGTAAAAGGGCTGCTTAGCCTGGGCGAGACGGTCCGGGACCTGATCGTAGTTAAGAGCTCCTTGCCACTAAATCACCCTCCTTTTTCAGTTTGAATAATGAGCTTGACACATTGAACTCTTGAAGAAAGCTGGACAAATGAACAAATACAAGAAGGGAGCATATAAAAGAATATCTCGAAATTGGCGGAGTTATGGCAGTGTAAGGAGGCGATGATGTAGTGGAAAGTGGCACGCTTATCACTTGCGCGGTCCAGGGGTCAGATCTCTTCATTGGCTCCCGCCCAGGCGGACCGAGCCTGGCTAATACAGTTTGGACGCACGCAATTTTGGCACCGAGCTCATTTTTCAAAGGCGTAAATAACCAAATCCGCTAAAAACTTGTATATACAGGTAATTTGGCTTAATCACGAATGTGACATTCATTCTTGGCGCTGGCGCTAATGGATGACACTACGATTATCTGCGCTCTGCTAAGGCTGAGCCCAGGAGGTAATCGTAGTGTCCTCTCTTGGCGCCAGCGCCAAGAATGAGTGTCATATTCGTAATCAGGATGTTAAACCTTTGTATACAAGTTTTCAGCGGATTTGATGATTTTGGCACTGAGCACTTCAAAAATTTGCTCAGTGCCGAAATTGCGTGCGTCCAAACGGCATTAGCCACCAAGCCGTCTATCCTCCGGGGACGGTAAGTTGGGACCAGATGCTGGGAGTACGATACGAGAATACGAACTGACTGAACACGGCTAGCCCCACAAGTCATTGTAAAGGCCACATCGCATGCAGTAAACCTCTAGCATTCTGAATAGAAGTAGAATGCGTGCGTCCCAAAAGAAATTGATTAACGGCGAAAATTTTATCCATTTGTGCTTCTACGAAGGTAACGCAGCTGGTGGTCTCGAAACCCTCACCAATGGCGATTCCTTGTTTTTCTTTATGCCATACGCAATTTCCATCACAATTTCTTTTGCTTTACGTTTTTACTTTGCCCTGAATGGCTTTAGAATGCTTTGCCCTATCCCACAGGGGATACCCTTGAAGAAGAAACAGCTACTGGTTTTCAGCGAACCGCAAAGAAGTGTTTGCTTTCTTGTTTTCAGTGATGTGATTTCTGTTTCCAGATACTCCCAGCTACATATGATAGTCGTATCACATTTTATGTTGACACGTTGCAATCTTTATTCAATTCACAAAGCATATATCAAGCAGAATGTTGTAAGGTGAGCGATCCTGTTTTTGTGGCTTTTTATGAATTGGAACGGGACATGGATGCTATTGAGTCTTTATTTACAGCTTAACAAACAAATTGTTACCCAATTGGACCGCCTTGGTGAATCCATGGATTCCCTTCGAGTTCCACGACCAGAGCCGCGACCCTCCACTCCTACTGATAGCGTA